AGGAACAGGAGAGAAACAGCAGTGAACAGTGAAGAACATGCTGTGAGGAAGTGGGGCTCCCAGAAGAAAATCTCTGATATTCATTAGCTGCTGCCTGAACTCATGCTGGCATCACTCCTGATCTCCAGCAGCACAAACATTGGAACAGGTTAAAATGGAAAGAGCCAAATCTATGGATCATTGTTTTTAAGGCCAATTGAGAATAAATGCAATAATAGTTCAGGAAAGGGTGGTTTTCATAAGGACAATGATGAGGAAAACCAAGGAGTCAGCACTTTGCCAAAATGTTATCCCCAACATCAACTTTAGGAAATTGGCTCTGAGCCTAAGGAGGGAACCTTCTAATCACATCCCATGACAAGCATGGCTCATATCTCTCCCCCTCACTCACCAGGTGTCACAGAACAGAAGGATCCATGCTACAGTAGATCCTCAGGCCCTAAACTGAACCCAAATGAAGAGAACTTGAACTCAAGTAGTACCAGCTGCTCAAAATTCTCCTGTTTCCAAAGGAACTGCACCAAAGGACTCATGCTTCCTTCCGTTCGGAGTATGCACCTCCTGAGGCTAGGGGTAAATCCAGCTGTCTTTGCTGCTTTGTTTTTCTGCCCATCATCCACACCCCAAAGTCCAAACAACTAAAGGAAAAAAGCAGTCAAGTGTCTAAATCTAACACCAAAACTCTGGAGGAATTCCTAATTGTGTAGGTTCGCTGAGCAGGCTGCACAAAACTGCCTGTCACAGCATCAGTTCAAGTGAAGTCACCATTGAAGTCATTATTTTAGGACTGGCAAGCAGATGGCATTTCTATCAGCTTATGCTCTTACTGCACATTGTTCCCACCTTTGAGCAACTGGTTTGCTTTCATATCGCTGTGGGTGCTGAACTAGGGGTTGTAAGAGAATTTCAACTTCAGCCTCATTAATTGCTTTATTTTTTTAAGTTAGAGAAAAGTTTGCATGATCAGACAGCAGGAAGAAAGCAATCTTGAAAAGCCTCATCAGGTTAACATTGGTCTCTCTCTGGAGGGAAAGAAGAAAGGTAGGACTTAAATCATGACTTTTCAATCCGTATGTTTCCAACTGTGGAAATACCAAAACTTACCATTTGCCAAAACAAAGAGAGAACATGTAGTGGGAGAGCTCCTCTGGAAGAGGGGGCCTGCAGGCTGGTGGCTCCAAGTACCTCCAACATCTGAGCACAACTGGTTTGGCTGTAGTCCCTGCCCTGTTGGCTGAGTGGAGAAGGGTCTCTGCACATCAGAAAGGGGTTGAGATTTCATTTCCTCTTACCCCTCTGAAGGTACAAGCTACGGGCCTGCAGCAACTATGATGATATCAGTCTAAATGAGGGAGATCATCTCATCAGCAAATGGTGTGACTTGAATACTCAGGCGTGCCTGTGCTGCTGATCTTACCCAAATCTTGAGAACAGGATAGCAACAGAGATGTTCACAGAGCTCATAAGATAACCACAGCTTTATTAAAAAGTGTTCTAACCGATGAAATTGAGGTTGAAACCATCACCAGGGAGTCATTAACAGCATATGTGAGATTCTAATGTTGTTTTGCAGGAACAGCAAAAATGTCTTTGCTACTGGATAGCTGGAAATGCAGCTTATCCAAGGAAAAACCAAGGCACTGCAGTTTCTCTGTGGGGAGGCATGTACCAAAGTGCCCCGCTGCAGCCGAGCAGTATCACTGGGAGTCTGGGACCTCACCAAAGGAAAAGAAGCCTCTGTGAGGCACAGCTAACAGGAGCAGCCACATTTTGCCTTAGAAGGAAAAGCTGCCTCACATGGGCAGGGAGTGCAATCACACAGTAGTGCACTAGGAGACAAGGGAATGGGGAGCAGGGAGGAATAACAGAGGCTGATGGCTGAAGAGATTCAGTACCATTTGCAGACCTGCTCTTGCATTTTGCTCAAGTGTGTTAAAGGAAAGGAGGCTCTGGGGTAAGGACTGGAGCGCTCAGGTCTCATCAGTCACAGCTTTGATTCTTCTGCTTTCTGGGTCTCAGTGGCTGCTGACCACAGGCAAAGTAAACCAGGGCCACAGCAGGGCTGGAGAACATCGCACTGATGAGGAGGGCAGTGGCACTTGCTGAACTTCAAAAGAAAAGCTGGAGGCAGTCCTAGCAGAAGTGGGTAAGTTTCAGTTAATTCCTATTTAGAAAGAAAATGCAGAAACACCCTAGTATTTATGTCAAATCAGGGTGCCGAATCCCTCAAAGAGAGATCTGCACACTCTGCTCTCACAGAAACCGTGAGCAAGCTCTGTTTCACACCAACTTGTCTTTACAAGAGGCTGTGATGAAGTAAGCTTTCATACAAAGCCTGCCTGCACGTGGCATAGCCTCACTCCTCCCCATCACCTCCACCTCTGCCCACAGGGCAGAGCAAGCTCCCCTCTCCTACCCAAACCACACAACCGCAATTTTGAACTGTAGTTGCAAAATGCTGGCTGACAGGATTCCTGGGCTTGATAAATCTGCCAGGTCCACTGACCTACAGGCTAGCCCTCTCCTGCTCCAAGGAGACTGTCCCTGTGAAGCAGGTAAATTCGAAGTGTGTGCTTTTTAGGTAACATGAGTAAAAGCCTAGCAGGAGCTGATAGACTCCTCACCTCTAGTACACAGCTTTCAGCCTCTCGACACTCCCAGCAGAAGCAATTAATTTCTGGGACAAACAGAGAGCTATCCCTCTCCACAGATGTTTCCTCTTAGTTCTACTGGACTCGAGTCAATGAAAACGTGGCAGTATCTGCACAGCAACACATGGAACTTTCCATCAGCCCAGACGGGAACGGGAGCATTCTCAGCTGAAGTCTCTACTAAAAATCTGCAATAGAAGGGAGGGGTTAAAGGGAACTAAGAAAACAGAAATGGGCAGCATAGCCCTTAGCATGCCTGAGAACCACAGTCTCAAAGATTTCTTGGCAGATATTGTATCAACTGGAAGAGCTGTAGGACCTTTTACCCCTGTCAGAGCTTTGTTTATCCATCTGGGACATGAGCTGGTAGCAGCAAACCTCCAGGGGCAGCTGAGACCAACTAGCAGCTGTATTATACTTTTGGCTGGGCTCGCTCATTATTTATATCTCAGGGTTTGAAGCAGACCCAGTCTGAACTGGGGTCACACTCCACCCCACTGCTTTTCCATGCCAATTGATGGGAAGCACTGAGTACAGAAGGAATAGGACCCCTTGAGAGCCCCAATGCATTCGGTGTCTGCCTACCCAGCTACAGAAGACCAGGGGGAGGACATGCACTTAGGGGAGGTGCTGCAGATGCTTTCACCATGTTAATTTACAGTGTTGCTCTGAGGAAGTGCTTGGCACCAAATATTTTGTGATAAAGGTAGCCATTTTTATATACACAGTTGTTCCACAGGTTCCCTTGAGCTGGCATCAAACACAGAAGCTGAGGTACCAAGAATTTTCTTTCTAGGTATCTTGAGCACATAAGTATCCTGAATCTCAGATGGCTAAATATTTGCTCTCCTTAGTAAGAAGTTGGGAGGGAATGCACATATATTCACCTCCACAGAGGGGTCAGTTAACACACTTGAAACACAGTAATGTTTCTCCCACTACCACCTCCAGCTCTCAGAAAATTAAATTTAAAAGTAAGAGGATGTGGAGAGGGGACATCTTAAATGATGTAACTTGCAAAATGCTTGGAGATCCTTCAGCTGAAAGGCTATGAAGAAATACACTATTAATACCATGTTACAAAATTCATCCTGAGCATCACTCAGGGCAGCCTTTTGGTATCCAGCCACAAATCTGTAATAAAACAGGCAACGGCTGTTCAGAGAATGGCTGAGGTTCAGGACTTGCAGTCTCATTTAGATTAACCATTTTCTGAAACATTAAACAACACATGACCAAACAAAAACTGCCTGTGATAAGTCTCAGGTACTTTAAATGTTTTTTCTCCCTTCAGTTTTCTTTCATATTTTTACAAGTAGCTTTGCATGGCAAGGAATGATCACAGCTACTGTAAAGCTGAACTTGGCTTAGTGTTTGCCTCACACAGAATAATTCTATTGAAGTGATTAAAGACTATGTATACTGATTGTCACTTCTTGGCTCTATTACTATGTAGCACCATCATAACCTACCTAACCTACTACTTAAGGTACTGAAAAAATACACACTCTTCAACTGTTTGAAATACAATCTTGGGCAAATTTTGTGGGACAGTTTCTTTTTTTTTAACCTGCCTGTTTGTTATAGTAGTGGCTACACATATCTGTACAATACACAGTAGTATTGCAGTTATCTTGAGCGATTATGTGAGTGAGCTCTAGGAAAAGGGCTGAAGAGATTTGGGGACCTTAAGCACTCCATATATTTTAATGTGATCATGATTATTAGTAATATGTTCTGTCCTGTATTTACAGCTCTCTTTCAGCAAAAGCTTTCCCCTTTTCCCCACCAAACATGTTACAAGAGAACATTCTTAATCTGATATAATAAAATTTAAACAGGAAATTCAGAAAACGTTGCTCCTGGATTATTGTAGTAACTTCTGCCATAATGTTTGTTCAAAAATGATCCTTCTAATACATGCAGTTGAAATACCAACTTCTTAAAAATCAACTTCTTCCTTTGATTTCTTCCGTCTGTTGTCTCTTCCTGTCCTGCCAAATAAACAGCTCTTACTCTTTGCTGGGGCAACCAATTGATGTAGGGAGGGAATCCACTGCTTTCAACACCTGGTGATACAACTTGTTAGCATGCCTTACCTGCCACCTTCTGACTTTCCCTATGAAGGATCATTACTGACAGACACTATGCTTTTCCAGCTGAATTGTCTAACTCTTAAAAATTAACTCATTTTCCCTTCTACCTTAGCCATGCCCCTTCTCCTTAGCCACTGTGAAAAGCTGTGGCTACACTGCTATTGCACCTGTTGGCAAAAGGGATAGGTAGAGCTCTAGTGAGCAAAGAAATCTTGGTTTAAAATATAAATTGGAAATGTGGAAACATGTTTTATTTATAGTAAAATCTAACCACATTTTAGTCGAAGAATAGTTAGGTAATTTGAAGGAAGACTTCCACCTTGTGCTACTCCCATTAGTGCTGCACAGCCTCAAGTACACTCCAGAACACAGCATCTGGTCTACAGAAGTGGAAGGTGTGCTAACAGAATTAAGTGGAACCTACACCAGTCACTCTTGAAAATAGATTCAAGCATTTCCCAGGCAATGTCACCAATTGCTGCTGGTGCACTTCCCAGGTGTGAACAGTGACCTGTATGGAAAGCATCTCTAATTTTCTCATCTGCACTTAACTGTAGCTTTCTTTATGCTTAGGAGAATTTTAAAAGCCTCTTAGCCAGAATGAGAACTGTACTGGAAAAAAAAATAACCCTCTCTTTATACACAAACACACAAGATTGCACAATTAATTAAAAACAGTTTTGAACATTTAATAAAATCTCATCCTAGAAATCCAACTTTTGGCCGTGACGTCCCCAAACTCTCTTCTTCATCCAAAATCTTCTGAAGGGCTGTGTGCAGTGACTTGCCTACTCTTTGTCCTGTCTGCAATGCAAAGAAAGCAAAACAAATCTGAGACAGATGCTTATTAACAGGAGACAAGTCTTACGGAACACTTCCTTTTGACAAATATTTTCCCTTTGATGATTCATATGCACCAGCTGGTATCACCAAAATACGCTTTTAATTAAGAAAAATAATGGTGGTGGAAGTTTCATTTTAATTTGATTAAGTTTTGGAAAAATGCACACATAAATGTAGTGTTCTCATTCATCGGAGAAGCATTCCACGATCATTAATACCAGATCTGTGCACAGCTAGATCATCCAGGAATACAAATTAAACTCACATCAGGCACAAGCACACACTCAAATTAGTCAGCACACACAGCATAAAGCAATATTCTAGCTGCCAGAGGACAAGAGACACCTGACCAGCAAAGCAGCCTACTAATAAAAAATTCAGTGAACTCTTCTGAAGGTGCTCAGAATCAGCAGAGTGAATTTAGACTAGTTCAACATTGTGTCCTATGGCCAGAGAAGCCCAAAATGCACACTGGCTGCATCACCAAATCAGTCTGTGGGCAGATCTTTCATATGATGTGCAATTCTGTACTGTCCAAGGCCCTTAAAGGGGTTAACACAATGTCTTCTTTACAAAAGGAAACTCCAGCAGTGGAAAGCCACCAGGATTAGCTCTGACACCAGCCTCTACTCTTCCCCCCTACACAACTGTACTGTGGAAGCTACAGGGCAAGGAAACATTGGGCAATGCTGAAATAAAGATCTTAAGGCAACAGTGCCCATTAAAGTTTTCCCAGGGTTTCTCTAAATGATCTGAAATACAGACTCCATATGGAGATGAAGAGAGCCCACCTATCTGTAAAGAGCCAAAGCCAGATTATATTAAACTGAGCTTATTTGCTCCTGATCTATGCAATGAAGCCTAGGCCTGCCATACAGCTGACACAAAGCTCTCTTTCACCTGTTGGTGACAATTACTGGAACCATGGGAGCACAAACCTTAAAATGAGGTTCGTTTCTAATTGAAGATCCAGGGGAGAGAACATGGCCCATGGTACCAAAGGAAATTTGGGAAGAGCTTTGATGCAGCAGGGTAGCTGTCAATCCTAGATACTATGAGTCATGCTAAATAAAGGGGGGCACAGACAAGAACCGTCCCAACAGCTCTGCACTGGGACAGAGGTCACTGCAGCAGTCTGGAGTCCCAAGGAGTGATACACTTTCTGCATTCTACTCCTCAAATATAGGACAACGTCACTCGCACCAGGTCAAAGTGAACGGGAACTGTGCAGAACTTTGGTACTGACGCAAGACTATTGCTTTCTTAATGCTGCTCGCCTCTCTAATGGATCAGATCATAAACTTAGGAAAGAAAAGCCTAATGCTGGCAGCTTCCCAAAACTTTCCCATGAAACTCCCTTACTAAGAGATATGCCCTAGAACGTCTGTTTTCTACAAGGCAGGGAAAGCTGACACTCTGACCTGCAGCCAAATCATGGAATGGAGGTGTCAAACATGGGTTATGCATCTTTTCCAGTGGATATTCCCAGGACTTTTTGTTTTTCTTGGTATCCTAATGAGGCTGTTGAGTTTAGGGCAGGGCCAAACAAATAAACTCTGACTTTCCAGAAAACATACTGGGTTTTTTTTGATCAGCTTTATCTCTCACTCTTTCAAACTCTTCAACATTCAGGAGGGAAGACTTCTTCCAAAGCAAGTGAAAGATGGCACAAGTGATCAGCTTAAGCTTGTAACTTCCTGCACCAACAAGTAGGGACAAGTTCACTAATGTTCTTTGCAGAATAGGATGGTTTGAAGATTTCCCACAGTTACCTTCCATATGCATCTCTGACCAGTGTTCAGAAGTGCATTACAGAACTCCAGGCACAGCCTTTGGGGGTAGGGTATAAAATGGAACTGCAGAAGTTCATTTCCTATTTAGGGCTCAACGTAGAGTGAAATTGGTGATCAAAACAGAGGCTCCATCAAAGCCTGGTGCAGGGAATTTGCACTAAGGCCAGCTTCTTCATGAACCTGTATCTGACTTAAGCACCAACCTCTCTAGCAGCCCTAGACCCAAAACTTCAAGTTTTCTATGACGTTTAGTTAGCATCAGACACAAAATCCATCAAGGAAGACACATCAGATGCCCACAGGAAGTTAGGTTTCTTTAGGATGCCAAGTTAGAGATAACACCTCTCTATCCAGATAAGAGAGAAAGTGACATCTCTGAAATCCCCACTGGTACCACCAAATTTTGGTACCACCAAAATTAGCACTCTATATTGACACAGTCAAGTGCCATATATACTCAAGCATGTAATTCCCACTTGAAACCAACTGTTGTCAAACTTGGCTCCAACTTCCGCATTCCTCACTACAGCCGGGCTGAAATTAGTCCTGTATCTCTTGGAAACAGAGTCAGCTTGAAGTATCTAATTTTCATTCTGACTTCCAAGCTCAAAACCCATTTCTGTCTCACACTCAAGGCCAAACTCAGGCATGAGAATTTACACTGCAGAACATTTAAGAAGAGCCTGAAGAAACATTTAAAATGGAATTCTTACATGGATGGGGACAATATCCAGATACTAGTATTTTTATGAAGTAAGGGCAGATCAGAAACCCAATAAAGAACCAAAGAAAAACAACAGTAAAAAGAGAAGAGTAAGCTTATAATAAAACAAATGAGTTGTGCTAGAAGAGAACACTGTGCACTAGCAATTCAAAAACACCTTCTCTACGTTTATAGGGACTTTACCATATTAGGAGTTTTGCTATTTCAGTTTTTAAGAGAAACTATAAAAGAGGGAACATGTTCTTTAAAAATACCCTCAAAGTTTATCAGCTTAAGCTTTACTGCCTTACAGCTGTGAAGTACCTGCCTGAAACATTTGTGAGTATCATGCATTTCAGGCATCTAGAAGTTTTAGATAACATCCATTCACATTAGAATTTGTTTCAAAGAAACTGTGACCTTTACAAAGTCCCTTGTGCACCTAATCAAAGCTCCAAGATTTCTGCTATAAAAGTCCTTACTGCAGCTTTCCATATACCCAAGTTCCAAGTCATCCAGTATCATCCAAGACAGTCAACTGCTCAAAACTCCTTACCTCCATCATTTCAAAAATACTCTCAGGATCCAGGCTACCTTTCCCCACTTTCTTCATAGAAGTGAGGGCACCTTTACTGGTCACGGAAATAAGCAGGCTTGCCAAAGAACAGGCTTCTTCCTGAAGGGTAGCATCCACCACATGCCTATATCCAATCTGTAAGTTAGTGACAAAATGATGTATCAGTTGGCAGTTTTCTAAGGGCTTCCATTAAGAAGTTAACCTGTGAGTGGCAGCTTTGTTAGTTACCTCAGTCTCCCATCCTAATATCATGTGGCCTTTTTAAGTGGTCTGAGACTGACTTGATAACTTGATAGCACAGTATTTAAACAGCCTCTGACCCCAAATTGTGTACCTTACACAACAGAGGCGAGATAAACATGTCACTATTTCATACTGTTTTCCTCTCTACCATCCTTTCCTCTATATGAAACTCCCTATTCCTCTTTCCCCCCTCAACTCCAAGCATGGACTTTGCTACCCTCTAGGTGAAAATTACACATCCCGAGACTCAGGTGAGCCCTCACTTCAGCAAAGGCCTCTGCTATTTATGCAACTTGCTTAAAAGAAATGCCACATAAACTTTCAGGTAACTAAGCAAATCACTAACACTTGCAATGGAACTTGCAGCATCCATAAAATCAACTGTGTTGGCTGTGTGCCATATATGGAAAACCTGTTTGAAAGGGAAGGCACAGTACTGCACCCCTGAAAATGGAGTTCTGTCCCCAGTAACAAATACTCATCATGTAATTCCAGGCAGATGACACAACTTTTGCACCTCACAACAATGGCCACTTGTTCTAACACACTGAAGTATCTGCTGCTACACATGTTAAGCAAGGAGTAGATAAAAAACAGTAAACAATTCCTCTGAATGCAAGAAGAGGCATTTTAAGAGCACATCAAGTAGAAACCTACAAGTCAGAGATGCAAAAAAACCCCTTATTCAGTAGAAGTTCTTCTTAATTAGGAGGCAAAAGACAAACAAATATCTACATAGTGGACACTGACCATTTCTGTAACACAATTTTTATCTCTAGGGAAATAATAACTGGCAGGTGAAACTAATAGAAACTGAACTTTCTAGGTAGAGGGTGAGAAATTTGTCATGCTTACTTTGCTTAGCGTGACAATACAGGGCACTTCCTCTACATTAAGTCGAATACAATCATAAGGGTCATCAGACAGCTCAATCTCTTTGGTGCCTTCTTCATCCTCCAGAACACGCACTTTGGGTATTCTGTGGAAACAAAATGTGCAAAATCATTGCCAGAACAGATAACAAATAAAGCTGCTATACAGTCACAACTCCATGAAGTGCTTTTTCTTCTAAATGAGGCAAAATGTTTAGAAAAAAAGTCCAGAACGTGATCAAAGTACTAACAACTCACTCCCCAAGACTAGGAAAAAAACATTGTAAGTTCGAAGACATTTAGGATGAGATCATCATATTTACATCATTCAAACCGTTAGAATTTGAGTTGTTTTTTACACTATTATATGGGGAGAGATTCTTTTGGAATTTGCACAAATCAGTTCTGAACAATTCTTTGTACTTCTGCTGGATGTATAGGAGAGAAATTACCAAGACTGAATCCTTTCGTACAGTGGCTCTCAACTTTGCAAACAACAGTAAAGTTGACAGAATTAGAGTAATTACATTGCTTGGCAAAGTTGTGACATCAGTAGCAAATACAAGTAGTAAAGTCCTTCAGGAAAGAGCAACACTAATTAAGGGAGACTTGGGGTAAAGAGAAAGATGACATCAGTAAAATCCTTTCTCTTTAGCAAGATGGGAAGATTGGCAGGATATTCTCATTCTTTAAGAAGCCAGAAGACTCTACTGTTCTAAGGAGAGATATACAAGGGATATATAAAATATAAGGACAGGGCAGGAATAAAAACCCAGGCAGAAATCCAAGAAACGCTTTCTTCTCAGTAGCAAATGATGAACTCTCTCACAAATGAACTAAGACAGGCTCCTTATCAGTGGCAAATGTATTGTATTTGTGATAGACATTTAATGGGAATTTCATGGGATGACTTAAGGTACTTTTCTTAGCATAATGAATAAAATAATTTAAAACAATTTAGTAGAAGATGGTACCTCAAGCTGCCAAGAACATCAGCATCTTATATACCCTCATTTATCCAGGTGCCTGTTAGGATGGAGTACTGACTGAGAGACTTTGCATTACGGGCCAGTAAAACCCCCACACAGCTCCCATATTACTTTTTTTTTTTCTTTTCCACACATTTGCACTTGAAAACAAAATATTTCAAGACGTCCCCTGACAGCTAACTTCAGTAACCACAATCTGGTTTTATATTAGTACTTTTACAGTAGCACTGTGTTTATAACTAGACTCTGGAGGTTACATTCTTTTATGCCGTCTGTAAGAAACCTCTCCTTTTGGAGGAGGAGGAGATAGGGACTGATTTAATGAACATCTCCCCCACCAATACAAAGTGACTTTTTATTGTTCCCTGGAAGAGTATGTTAGTTATTTGTGGCTAAAAGTCCTAGTGGCAAGTACTTCACAGCAGCTAACCCTGCTCCAGTGACAACAAATTCCCTACAAGCACAGTGGCCTGGACCAAGCCAAAACTAAGACTTTGAGTAAGCAGAACAATTGTGAAGTGTACTTTTTCCTGAAACAAAATTCCAAATGCTTTCCAACGCATTAGAAATGCCTCAAAGCCTATTTTCAAGTTTAAAATATTCCATTAAAAATTGATGGAATAAAGTCACAAGGTGACTGATCCTCAAGCTACGCAGGACAATGGACAACACTGGAAAACAGCCTAGTCAAGAAGTTTATGTGCCAAAGCAGTGTTAAAAAACAAAGAAAGATTTCAGGAAAATCTGTGAGATTAAGCAATTTTTAATTCCATTCTAAAATAGTCATGAAACCAGAGCAGTGTTTGGTCTGCAAGAAAAAGTTGCCAGAATTAATACCTGAAAAAATGCCTGCAAGGAGCTTTTTTGGCCAAGCACGGATGAAAGAGGTGTAAATTAGAACTATTGCAAAGGCAAAAAGATCAGACACAAGAATCATAGTTGCATAAAAAAGGGGGTATATGGACACAAAAACTAGGAAAAGTGAACGCAGCACAAAGTATTTCCAGAACACTGGAGATTTCCTCTCTCAGCTTGTGAATATTTGTCTTAAGAATTAGCTGTACATGTTTACTTTGCAACTTTCATTTTTCTATTTTGATTCCTGTAACTAATCAGGGCAGAAATCTGTACAGCAAGACTCAGTCAAGTAATAAACAACGCTCTTTCCTATGTGCTGCAGACCCAGATTTCACAACTGCAAAACCAGTTCCACCCTTGCAAGCAGGCATCAGTTCTGCCTCTACCATGCTGTTCAGCAAAGCTGTTGTGTTATAAACTCTTTAGTCTTTGTAACTTGCCTAGTTTCTGCAGCCTCTGTGGCAAGGAGACACATTTCACAGAACCAAGTTTAATGTCCTGACACAGTAGCTAATATTGCATATTTTGCAATATCTACTTCCATCATGAATAAATCCATCCTTAAACACCTTGGAGACAGGGGTAAGAAGTAAGTTTGATGCCTGCTATCTTTTGCACATGATCTTGATATAGTTTTTAGAACATGATGAACTATACAAACTTGCAAGGAGTAAATGTTCCCCCTAAAACAGTCATATTGTCATTGTTCCATGCCTGAAGGGGATATAATGAGTCACGTCAGGCATTCAAAGGATTTAAATCCTGCCAGTCTTGCGTAAAATTCCTTAAATCATGATTTTGGATTTACTTAGCTCTAAAGAAAAATGTGTCCATAGCTATTATACAAATGCTTAGAGCAAGATTTTAAAGATGAAGCTGAAGTTTTCAAATGCCTATCTGAATATCTAAAATTTTGTAGCATCCAAGAAAAACAGCAGCTTGAGCTCTCTGCTCTTTGTTTCAAGGCTGCAGTCAAGGCTGGCAAAGATCTGGAAACACTTCTAACAAAAACCTGGTTGTAAACAAAGTATGAAAAGCAAGTAAGACTTAAAGAGGGACACATGTCAAGCAAAGTTCAGAACACTTAATCTGAAGCAATTTTCAAACTGACATCTTGTCTTGTTTGGACAATAAGATTTTATGGAGAATGGGAAGCTACTCTTAAACAGCCTCGTGTCAATCCAAAAAAAACTCAGTAGCTACCAAGAGAAAGTGAGAGGAATAGTGAAGGAGGACAACAGGTTTTCACTTTGAATTTCACCTCTTGACTTTCTGATCTTTTATGAGATTAGATGTATGGCTCAACTCAGTAAGACAAGGTTTTCACAGGTAAAAAATCAACAGGCTCTCCATTATGTCATACTGTACCACATTTTGATACAATACCCAACTTTAACAAGACTCTGGATGTTTTCCATAGATTACAGATTATATAAAGGACACAAGTTGTCAGAAAAATCAAAATAAAGCAGAATCATTAGAATAATTACACCCTCCATGTTGCCCATGTTCCCAAAGCAACATTTTCTTCTACTTGCTTATTTAATTCATTACTTTTTATATGATCGTCTCTGTTTATTCTGGTTAAAATAAGAAAAAAGACCCAGTTATCTTATAAATAAAGTATGTGCCTTGGATCTGCAAAACAACTTACATGGTAGTAACTGTTTTAACTATACAACTTTTGCATCCAGGCAGAAACACAGTACTTCTTCCCTTTAGAGTACTGCCAACTCCTTTGTGAGCCATTATATTTGTGACAGTATTTCTTGATGTTATAAAAACAATCTAGTGTTAAAAGTTACTGTTGAGAATTTGATTAACATGAGAAATTTCTCAGGAATATACAAATTCTAGTCTCAGATGGATTCTTCCCTCATCCCCTTTTAAAGTGTTTATAACCTGATATACTGCCTGTCTTCAAAAGCGTATTTTCCTCTTCTTTTTGCACATACTTTTCCAGATCTAGTGCATTGATTTCCTGATAAATAAGCCAGAACTACACTAGTGGCTTTAGCAAATCTCTAATTTAATGCTGAAGAACAATTTGAAATCCACTTTAAAAACACTTATGCTTGTAAGAGTCTAACTTTTGCACCTCTTCCCGCTATTGTTGCCACCTAAGTTTTTTGGCAAAGCCATTCACTAGCTTTTTTTCTCAAGGGTGCTACAAAACTCTGTACTCCCTTCCACCTACAGATGAAGAAGATAAAAACAATAGAAAAAATATGAGCAAAACATACCAATTAAAAACCACACAGAGAATTTCCATCATTCATTCTACTAGATTTTGTTTTTCCATTCTTTGAATTGAAATGCACGGGTCAAAGTTCTTTTAAAGACACATCGTTTCCCCCTCCCCACAATTTCTCACTACCATAATTTTCTTCTTAGTTTTAAAAAGAACTCTAGACTAAAAATTAATGAGAATGAAATCAGAAGAGAAACATCAAGGCTAGTTATAAATCACTAGTCACATTGACAGAGGGTTTCTTAATCAAGAGCATCACATATCAGTAAGTACTTCTTCAAACCCACAAGGCATCAACACAAAGTCCTCCAACTACCTGCAACAAAATCTCATGGTCAAACAATTTTTTCTGGATCAGGCTACAGAACAGAAGTTATATTGTGAACCTGACTGTGCATACAATCACTATGCAATATGACACTTGATTATTAGAAACTGAACTAAATATTAGTTCATATGACTTGCATGAAAATGGACTGCCTTGTATCTGAATGCAAGCTGCTTTGGGTATTTCTTATTTAAATAACTAAGCATTAAAAATGCTTTGCTCACAGAGAGTACTTCTCTTCCATTTCCCATGCCACTTTCACTCACATGAAATGAGATTTGTGCTTTACCTTGTGTTAAAGAGAGCTGCCTTCACTGCGATAGAGATTGCATCAAAGATGTTCCCACCACATTCCAATAACTGAGGAGGAAAAGAAGAATCTCTTTAAAAGAAAATTGGACTAGTGCCTTTAAATGAAGTCTTTATTTTATTTAAACCTACTTGAAAAGGAAGAAAATTAATAACCAGAACAGGTTTTTAAAAAACAAAGTTGTCTTTAAAGCCCATCCATGAAAAGAAACAGATAGGAAATTAAGATTTTGGCTAACTGTATTATACATGCAAAATAGAAGAGTTAATATACTCCGTAATAAAATTAATGATAAAATTTAATAATAGAACCTGAAATGAAATCACCTCTGTTCTTAATCTTCTTGTGCTAAGGCTCTGAACTAGACTATGACCAGAATTCTCTTTATAAACCCATCACATTCATTCTTTAATATTAAATCAAACCAGTCAATTTTTTATACTTTATTTCAAAGAGGAGCCTTTTTAAAATATCAACTGGACAAAACCAACTGGGAGAATTGCTTTTAAAGAAGCAATGCAAATTGTCACTGAGAACACAGTATGAAAAGGTAGTTACAGAAGTTATAGTTATGAAGGTACACTATGATTTATTCTTCTTAAGGAAAAGAGTCATCATCAGGTTTGTCTTGTAGCTGAAAATGATCCAAGGAAATCCTGATGTCAAAGTCTAATTCAAACATCAGTGTTATCAAACAAGTGAAGAGTGTCGAGGGAGTCTAGCTTAGTTTCTTCCCATGAAGATCAGGAGAACAACAGTCAAAGAGAACAGCAGCACTGCATACTAGGCAAAAAGGCAGGGCTCCCAAAACCACAATACCTTCTATAGGCTGCCAGACAACTCCACAGCTTATTGTTAGTTCTCTGACAAGCTCCGCTCTCAGCTGCTAGTACTATTCTGTGAGAGCACACACACACAAAGGCACACACACAGAGTAAGCATTTGAAACTACTTCGGCAAGAACATATGGTTGCTTCTCCATGACATCAATCTCTGCTGTATGATGAGAGCAAAACAAGTTTTGCAACACTGATTGCATTGATTGTTCTTCAAAATCTATTTAAAAATGAGATAAACTCCTGCACTGGGACTAAATCATAAATCAGGTATTCTGTAAAGACAGTTTCTTTATGAAGACAGACTGAATAGTGTAAAAAGAATGACAAAAAGTTGGAATAGAAAGCTAAATACAAAGGTGATTAGATTATTTCTTCGCAAACAGCTGCTGGATACAGAGAGGTTAACCTGCCACTTTCAGTCATTATTGGATTTTACTGGATAACACAATAAGTCCCACAATATCTTTGTTATTAAAACCCAATAATGGGATATGTCTGCACTGTTGCTAGGCTTGTGCTCAGGCTGCTATTCTAAAACCTTATCTGTACTACAGTGGTGCCTACAGGCTAGGAACACAACCTGTAATAAGCATGATGCCAGAATTCCTCCACACAGAACTGAACACTTTTCTCAGCTGAAGCACCTTGTACTGAGATCTCCCCTGCTGTTTATTTATTTATTTATTTATAGAAATAAGAAAGTCTGCACAACTGCGAGTTATGGGAAGCAAAGGATTCTTTAGAAAGGACTGCTTTTAATTAACTGATGTACAAATAAAAAAGTTATTGGCAAAAATAGATAAAACGTTGTAGACCTTGCCTTATTCAAAGAAGCTTTTCTTCCAAAGGACAGATTCCTAACTTCTTTTTTTATCAAACTTGGGAGGAATAGAAAACATGAAGAAATCCTGAGAGGTGCTCAGTAGTGAATTGCTAGAATTTCAACAGAACCTACTGCACCCCTTCCCCCCAACACACCATCTACTGAGAAGGGAATGATAAGAGATTGCACACTTTGATTTTCCTTGCTCAGCATGACAGACTGCTGGGCCAAATTATGTGGAGAAGGTTATACATATATCAAAACACACTCAAAAATGCCAAAATCTTATTTCTGACATCAATGGCTTAGAAAGAGAAATAAATCAAGGGAAACAGAGAGTGAGAACAAGCTTACAGTTTTGTGATACTGTTCTCCACATTCACGACCTACTATTTGGAAGTGGAATGCCTTACATTATTAAGAAAGAATGCATCTATTTTGAAAGGTCAAGGTACATATTCTTGACCTTTGTCACATATCTCAATGTGGCCATATTTCTGCTTCTTTGTGGTGTGTATGATTGAAATTATTTTCTTTCCAGTCTGACTGTACACAATTATAGCAAGTCTCAAGTACACTGACCACTAGAAAATATTTGAGAGATGTTTTTAATTGATAAGCCGCATGACTTTGCAAAACACACCATTTTCTCTTTTGAGGTTGCATATGTCAAATATGCTTCAGTCAAAGTGCACATGGCTAAATTGCATAGCGTGAAACTTCCAGGTTCATAAAATTTTTGGGAGGTTTTTATCTTTCAGAACAAGACACTTCCAAACAAGTACCTTCCCATCTGACCACAAAGTACCAGTATTTTCAGGCTTACAACAGACTTCAGGCTTATTTTCCCTCTAGCTTTGCGCAACACAAACACCAACGTAAACAATTTCCAGGAACTCTGAAGGAAAATACCACCCAAAACACTCTCTATGAGCATTGTTATTATAGTTAGAATCTGTCTCCCTCAAACACTGAATAATATGACTTGCACCTTATACTAGCCCAAGTATTATACTCCCACCATGTACTATTAAAGTAAGATTCTACAGGAACGATTCAGCAGGAGCAGCTTCAGCAAAATCTGTAGGTATCAAGAATCAACATCAAGTATACACTAACACATGTGATACACATCTTCCATTTAGAAAAGGAAATATTACAGTGACCTCAAAAGTGTGAAAATACAGACACCTGAGGTGGAAAAAGAATGGGGGTGAGGCAGGCAACAGAATAAGAGACTAATGTTAACGGTGTCTTCTTCTAAATGTACCATCAGCTCTTCAATGGCTCACACAAAAAATCCCTGCAGAATATAACATTAAAAAGACTCATCAAGTTCAGTCGTAATTATGAACCTACAACAGACTGTTTACTGGCATTGTAAAAAAGCTAAATATAAAATTCCTCACATAACACAGGTCCTGATGTTCATAATTCTGATACAGTCAGTAGCATGAAAATACCAAGGCTGTTTTTCTCTGTAGTTGTGGACAACCAAAAAATCTGTCCAGGAAGAATCAAACAATAACCAATTATATCTCATGCAGAAGCTATACAGAACCAATTCTGCACTAGTCACCTTTATGCAAGTCTTTGTTTATGCTGTGTTTATGCAATGTTAAGCAGTACATTGCTTAAATAAGCACAGCATTTAATATTCTGTACCTCTGCTTGTAATTACCCAGTAACTAAAGTCCCCAGTGTGATTTCTCAGAACTAACACTTCATTCTCTATTAAACTATGCCAAGCTCCAATAAGCTGGCGACTTGGGCTGTTAAAGCCCTCAGCAGTGGCACACACTCAGTCGCTCTGTACGCAGACTGTCGCAGTATGTACCATATCTGCTATAATTAGGCTAATGGTACTGCTTTTTAAACACCTAATGAACTAATTTTCACATTTATTTAGGTCTTAGTCTAAATGTTCCTGTTTAACAAAATCCTGTATTTAATTTTCCTGGCCATACAGCTTAACGTTTTGCAAATCATTTATAATACATACTAATGGATTCCTGTGAGTAAGGTCCCTCAACACATTTTCACTTCCAAATTTGACAAAGAGAAACTCAATTTTGGACCAATAAGAATTGGGAATAATGCTCAGGAGAGTCTGACTTGCAGACTTCTGTTAAAATTCCTGTGGCTGAGTGGTTTAAAAATGGCATAGTTTGGAAATCAAGCTGCTACATGCATGAGATCTGTATGCATAAAATTCAGTTTCCATTTTTTAATGGGAACAAATATTCAGTTTATCTTCTACATTCAATACATGTATACAACTTCCATCAAAAAGTGTCTAAGTCAAACGTAGCTTTTGCCAGAAAAGTTTCTATTTTTGGTTACTGAATCAGTACTGATAATAGTGCAAAGAAGCAGACAGGATGGACAGTTACCTTAGGGCTAACATACATAATACTAATTTACATTCAACAGAACAATACATTTGCTGTTGCAACTAGCCTAGGAGAAAAGTTTAGCCTTCTTTAGTGGCAACCTCCTTGCTAGTATAAGATCACTGATTTTCATCTGAGACAGATTTGGAGCATTCAGTGTTTTATTAGCTCTGCAGTGGAGCATCAGCAACAAGAAGAGTAGGAAAAGAGCAAGCTGCAAACAGTGATTAACTATTACAGGCAGATTCCCAAGAAAATGGTCATTCGTTTTGTGAAACATTATATCACATTATGAGAAGCTTTTTTTAATAAGAAAATACACAAGGTTATGCTAAGTCAGTCTCCGCCTTAAATCTTGAATCTTAGTTTTCATTTCCTTACTTACCAATACATCGACATAGAGAACCCAGCAGTGCTCTCTGGGATTAATACAGAGGGATTTTAAGTCTACACTGTTCTCGCAGCTAAATACTCTGTAGAGTGTATTTGCTATATCTGTGCCAAGTTCTTCTCCTCCCCGGCCTTCCAATTCAGGAGTAGCGTTTGAAGAACTAGATAAAGAAAGAAAAAATACTTTCATTCCTGTGGCAGCCAATACCCAAAGAACATTTCTTAAATATAGAGCATTAAAAATATCTAAGGATTTATTTGTACAAGAATAAGCATCCTATTTGAAAAGAAAGTATTTCCATTTTGCATAAGAGAATGTCCTGATGCAGATAATATACCAACATTTTGTTACAAATACTGATACCAACTAAATTCCACCACTATCTTCAGTTCCCAAGTTGCAATGCTAAAGTTGGTGAATTCTTTCAGGGATTATTTCTTCAGCACTGTCATCTTCTATCACCTCAACCCTTTAGAAAAACAAAAAAGTGAGAGAAATCTGTGCTAAGTTCAGAACAGCTAACAAGACAGTCTGGTGAGAGTTGAATGTTAAATTATTAAGAGGATGGCTAAGAAGAAGATGCGATTATATGACAAGTAGAATACACATTTCTTTTAAAGTAACATGACTGCCTGACTTTAATTGGTAATTTCTTTACTGAAGGGTACTGCATGCTATCAAGCCCCTTACAGAAAGCAGCTCATTATTCTCAGCAACTGCAGCTTATGAAGAGCTGCAACTGAAGAACATATTTTCCAGAGGAGGTCTGACAAAAGTCTTTGTCTTCACTTCCCTGATTCCAACATAACTAACTTTACTTATGAGTAGTCATACAGGAAAGTCCTTGGGTACTGATGCCTTGTACACAGCTAAGAACAAATTTCTAACAATAAAAGAAAACAGGCCTACAAAAAAAACCACCAAAACCCCCCACACCAACCCAAACCAACCAATCAAAAAAACCCCAAACAACAAACCTCAAACCAAACAAAAAATGCCTCTCCTCCAAAGCACAATAAAATAGAGCAGAATTGTCCAGAGATGCATATACTGCAAAGTAGTGAACAAAGATTCTGAACCCAATCTCTGGTTTATAGAGAGAAGAGTATTCTCAAGCAGTGGATCCGTAGCAGCATTAAAAATGTTGTTTTAAAATAAATCAGTCACACCTCTCCCAAATTAATTTCTCATTGCAGAATATAGGAAAGAAAGTGGCTCCATAGAAGTAGTTTTGGTATGTTCCAAATCTGTAATAGTAAAGCCTTGTATTTTCCTGGCTGGGTACTTCCCAGGGCCAATTTCTCCTGCATGTTCTGTGTTTATATGATGATGCAAAACTTCAGCTCTTCTAACAGGCACACCAGGAGTACAAAAATACAGCAGAAAACTAAGTCTTGGAATATAATCCCTTCACCTTAAAAAAAACAACAACTAAAGAGTCACATTATCAAAGTATGACTTAAATCATCAAGTGAACTGTATCAACAGTACTGCAGAACCTATAAGCTTATATATAATTACCTACTATTACTCTTACCTACAAGAATTACCTAATTCTCCCAACTTGTTTTGCAGTTTATGAAAACTCAGAATACAAGGAAGAGCTACTGGATTTTATAGAAGTTATCTGCTGCCATTATAAATAGATAGCACTATACATGCTTAAAAAACAAGGAAAAGCGTTACTGCCAATGAAGCACTGACCTAGGCTTCCAAACTACATTTGCCACACAAATAAGCAGTGCAAATATGACACACAATATTATTCATGGTCGCATTAATATTAGACACCAATTTTATGCAATAAGATCATATTTGAGTATAACTCAGTGCTGAGTCAGGTCTTCAGGTTGTATTAAACAAGCCCTTATCCATGGAAGCAGCTTTTATGCAAGTTAACTAGATCATTCTGTTTAAACCTTTCCGTTTGAAGCATAGTTATGCAAGCATTATGATCCCTATGATAAGCTGAAAAGAATTATACAAACTTCAATCTATGCCTCATTATTATTTCTAAATACAAACTTTTATCAAATGTTGTATTTTTTGATTGTAAGTGGACACTTTCTTTGACGGTGAGTAGCAAGAACACAACACTCAATTGGAATATCATGTTTCACTGCATCTTAATTCCATTATTATTTTAACACTTCGGTTCCTTGCAATCAAAGCAAAATAAAGAACTAAGGTTAGCAGGGTACTATTATAATAACTATATGGTAGATACTGCCACCTAATGCCTACAGATTATTACAGCAATATACTGGGCAAAAATTGAAAAGGGGTTGTCTAACACATTAGAAAGAGAAAATGCAAAAAAACTTGGTTTATGGAGCACAGAAAAAAACTAGCAGTGGCACAGAATTTTTACTCCCAAACAAAATGTAAATTTCAAGACTATCAAGATCATTTTAGTGTTACATTGCCTAACAATCAAGATTCCTCCTAAAGCACAATGATGCTTCTGCCACAGATTTCTGCTCAATTTCAAAACTCTTGCTGTTAGCAGAAAAACCTTTCTCTCACAGTAGTTAAGCACTTTACACCTGTTGCTTAGGCCATTAATATACACTTGAACAAATATATTCCTAATTCCACAAACAGAATCAAATGCATTCAAGGAATTCAGATGTCTGCTTTTCTTTTTGTTGTTATTTCTTACAGTTTGGAAACAGTAACTCAGAACAGCCCCAAAACTCAAACGTGAGAAAAGCAGACAGCAGTCTTCAACATCAATGGCCAGGATGAATGTCCTCTCCAGTGATGATGGGCAGTAAGGATATCACAGAGGACAGGGACTTGATCTGTGGTAATTAATTTCCAGGCTCACAAATCAGTGCCCAAAATATCATCCCTTCCAGAGACGTGCATTAAAGTCTATCTCAAAATGTGACCAAATGTGCTTCTCAGATTTTAGGTAAAGGACTCGGAGCAGAAAAAAAGAGAAACAGAATTCTGGGGCAGAGAAATATATAACTAATCCAGCAAGTGATTATTTTAATCAGGAAAGGAAACCATGAAAGTTTCGGGAAATAAGCAATTTAAGATAGTAATCACTGCACTCTGAGTTTTTATTATTAGTTTCAACAACATAAAAGCCAAGTAGAACACAGAAGAACTTCACTGGGAGATGCAGGGTATCGGACTATGTGCAGTTACTACCACCCAGTGGCAGCCTGCAAAAGCATCAGAGTACTGACAGCAGCTCATTTCCCTTTACAGAGAACAAGCTGCCTCCACTTCACATTTGTCTTGGATCTTTCTGGAGGCTAGAGGACACTTTTCCCTGTGCACAAGCATGTGAGAAGTTAATACACTTCTCTAAAGTTTAGGCTTTTGCTCTATGTTGTCACAGAAATTAACAATTCCCTATTTCTAGAACTGACAAAATCCATCTTGCACAATATTGCTGCACATCTCCCATCTTATGAAGCAGAGATTAACAGTTAGAAAATACAACCTAATGTTAATCTAATGAATTGAAGTGTTTCTAACATTTATTTACATATGCAAGAAGTGTCACAGAATTGCCACATGTGCACAGCCCACTTGTTTAAGTACGGAAACATTCCTGCTGCCATTGGACTTTCTTCATATAGAAACCATCAGAAAAAAACCTCCATGTACTGTTTAGGATATTTCAAGCATGCGTTTCATAAAGCAGTCAGGCTCAGATCCCCTGTAATAGCAGGACCACATCCAAGATCATCTTCCCACCTTGTATTTTTTGAATAGTAATTGTAGGCAAACTACTAATTCGTAGGTGAGTCCTTTCCTCTACAATGCACAAGGTGTCCACAGTTAACTAGTACATCGTGAGGTACAGAGGCAGTCTTAGATAAGGCCGCATAATGTGACACACAAATGTTAAGGCAGATACAGCCAGTTAGGTTAGCAAGATTACCAGATATACATTTACTTAGTAGCTCTCATACCTTAGCTTTACCAATGGTATATCGGTTTAATGTCAGAGTAGCAACATTTTTGGCTTATAATAAAAATAAAAAGAAATGTCACATGCAAAACAGCTAACTTGACAGTGCCAAGGCTCTAATGAGAGGTTCCCAAAACACATTACTTCATAAAGGACAGTTTTAGGAAGTCTGCACGACATGGATACCGTAGTTGCAGACCACAGACAGTCTAGAATAACACTGAGATGTCACTATGCTATCTCAGAGCAACCCCAAAGTAAGAGTTCTCAGTTTTCTTCTAGCTTCCTTCATAATTCGAGCAGTATGAAGACTGTAAGGATAAACAATAGTGCACTTGTAGGAAAAAGCAAGGAATATGATTAAAACAAATACCATTTTAGTTAATGAAGCACAGATTCTCTGATAAATGCATAACTAAATTTTCTAATTAGCTTTTGCATCTGAAGTTCACATTTTCCTTTTTTTAAACAAACGAATTTGAACAAAACACACTTCAACTTTTTCCACTGCTTTATCAGACAAAGCAAGCAAACCTTTAAGTACAGTTAAAGAACAGTCAATTCTTTTCTTCTGGAATACTTACTTTTTTTGAAAGAGATTTTCTCTGTCATAGTAAAAACAACAGCTGACATTGTAGTCATGAAGTCATGTTAAATGCATGTGTCATTGGACCATTACTCTTTCCCAGCTGCAGTGATGTTATGCAGTTTGGGATTGCATTCATTCTTTAAATCCTATTGATTTGCTTATTTTGGGTCTGCAAAATCAGTATAAAGTTTCTGAACATTCACTGCTACAGGAACAGTAAAATAACTTTTTTCTCTTACTCAGACTCTTACCGGAGGTTAGTGGAATGAAGGTATAAACTTCTGAAGAATGGTAAGATCTGATTAGTCATTTATTCCAAATACTAGATCTATTTCATTCTTTTCTGATATACTAACCAGTCAACAAAGAATTCCAGGTATCCTTCGTCGGGTTTCTCTAACTTTGGTGTGCCCATTTCAGCTTTTATGCCTACCAAGACATCAGTGTCTCCCTGTTAAAACAAAAACTTATCACACAACTGAAATTATAATTACAGAACTACTTGTTTAATTTAAATGTCTATAGTAAGCTGACATTTCTACCTTTCAGTTATCTGATTGTTCTATCAGAGTGAACTTAAAATAACATTAAATTTTTTAAAGAAGAAAAGGCTTTAGAAGGACAATATTAAGCTTAAGAAGATTCTTCAAATAATTACCATACATATTAGCTTTCTCTAGGTTAAAAAGACACTCTTAATATCCAAGACTACTTCTCTCATTTTGGTTCTGGAAACATCTCTTACTGCAGAACCACTATAATACTGCACATGCCAAAAGTAATTTCACTTCACTCTGAAGTAGTAGAATTATTTTTTCCCAGGGATTAGGCACAATAGTGATTGCAGTTTTCGAGATTAAATGTTAGATCAACTCAAACTAAAGGCTGTCCAGGTACTTCATGGTAAATCCAGCCCTGCTTAACTTTTTTTCATCATCGTGATAATAGTTAAGCCAGCCAAAAAGCATTATATATGCTGTAATTATTTCCTTAACCATAGTTTCAGTTACTGCTATGCACACACACACAAATAACCTCAGCTTATCTTAAAACCAGTCATATAAACTAGAAACTTCATTAGCGAGGCACACGGTCCCTAAGAAATTTACCTACCAGCTTTACTCTTGCAGATCCGCTTGTGTTTGATACAACATCTGTTTCTACTTCTGCACATCTGTAGTCTTCACAGCCACGACCATCCACACGAAGATCCTCCTAAGTATGACATCAATATATTGTGCTTAAGGGAATCAGTAGTGAAAACTTAAAAAAAAATAATCTCTATATATCTATATATCTATCTATCTATATATATCTGCGACTTGAAACTTTCCTTCTCCTATACCAAACACAGCAGTAAAAACAACATGAAAGCATCAGCTCATGGTTTCATCACAGGTTTTTACTTAAGACTACATCAGGCCTTTCCTGGGATGCGCAAGTTCTGTACTTTTATAGCAGTAATTAGGACCAGGCAGGAAAAAATAACCCACTGGCCTCCCATATGTTTTCATCTGTATTTCAAAAACGGGTATTGTGCATCCTCTGATACTATACACTCGCCTCCACAGAAATAGGTTGTTTTTCAGCAAAATTCGGTAAAAATACAGTCTTTGTACCACCGGCGTTTCTCCCCCCACATCCTTCACTCTTTCTTCCTCCTTGGTCCACTCACGTTCCTTTGCAACGCGGCAGGTTAAAACTCTATGAAACGGCAAAAACTTGAGAAAGAGCCAGGGAAGAGGTGGAAAGAGCAAAGAAAGAGAGGTAAAGGGGGACAGAAGTGAAAGAAAACAAATCCACGTTCTGCTCTCAGCCAGCTTCCCGTTCTGATGCTCAGCGTGCTCGGACGATTACTACCGCAGAGATTCGCGTCCAGACACCACGACGGAAGGCTCCCTGCCTCCCTCCTCCCCAGCCTACCCTGTAACTCGCCCCCTGCCGCTCCGGTACCTGCACGCCGTGCACGATGTAGAGCTTCTCCGCCTCGCTCAGCACCACGGACGCCATTCCTGCCGCCGCCTGCGGACCGCAGCTGCGCAGTGCCCTCCTGCCTCCCTGCTTCCCTTCCTTCCTTCCGCCCGTCCGCGCCGGGAAAGCTGCCGGCTGTCCACGGCTGCTGTCCCGCTCGCCCGCCCAGCCGGCACCGGCACCTCACATTGGGTTGGAAGGGACCTCTGGAGATCACGCAGTCCAACCCCCGTGCCAAGGCAGGGTCACCTCGAGCGGGTGACACGGGAACGCGTCCAGGGGGGTTTGGAATGTCTCCGCGACCTCCCTGGTCAGCCTGTTCCAGTGCTCTGCCACTCTCAATGGAAAGAAGTTCTTCCTCACGTTGATGTGAAACTTGTGTTTTAGTTTATGGCCATTGCTCCTCCTCCCCTCCAAGAAAGCGAACCCTCATGTTAAAGCAAACAGGCAGCGCCTACCCGCTGCCCTCTGCCAAAAGCTCCCGAAGGAAGCTGTGGAAATGCCCAAGTGCTCGGGAAGGTATAGCGTACTGATAAATCTCGCATTTCCTCATTTTCCTTGTAGAGTTTTCACCTCGGAAGGGTCCGAGCAAGGTGTGGTGTGCAGGGAAGGTTGGTGCAGGAGCAGGGAAGAAAACAGATGCTTTCGGTTAGGAGAGCGCTGTTGGTCCTGTGCCAGATATCCCTGGGAAAGTGGTGTGGGAAATGTAATTAAAAACTCACATTATATATTAAAACAGTAATGAAGGGTTGGGGTTTTTTGGACAGCCTTAATTGAAAGCCTCATAACAGTCATTAGTGTAAGTTTTACACCTTTTTGCACAGCTCCTGTGTATAATTTTGAGAGTATTTAACAGGTTGCTATGTGACTTCATGCTCATGTTTGCTTGGATGAGAATGACCCATGGCTCCCAAGTACTACACATCACACTGCCACAGTCTATCCAACTCTCCACAACTCCCTGTTCAATCAAGTGTACAGAGCATTCCTGGCTGTGCCTACTTGAGCAGGTGGAATGATGCAGTAGAAACAAACCTCAAGAGCAAGGGATGTTTTGGAGATTTTAGCTTGGGTTAGCTCTGATCAGGTCCCATTGGCAGGCTGCATATCTGTTAACAGTCAGAGCAGAGCAGATGCATTTCTAGGGCGCTTCCCATGGCTTACATGCATCCAAAAGGAGTCGAGTTTCTGCACACTAGGGTTGTTGCATGGGGATTGCTTACTGTTTCTCAGTGGGGAGAGACAGTGGTGGAGCTTGGCAGAGCTGGGAGCTGAGGCTTGGGTAGCTTGTCCTCCCTGCTCACCCTGGGGATGTGAGCAGGGCCAGACCCCCTTCCTGGGCCAGGGGAGTGCCAGACAAAGGCAGTGCCCATGCGTGAAAGGGATCTGATTTGTATGTTCTCTCTAAATAGCATCTGCCAGTGCTGCTGTCCAGCACAGATGGACCCTGTGATTGACCCATAGTGTGATACTTGTGGCCTCACATTCCTCAGTCTGAAACAAACAAGAAGTAAGATGTTAGAAATTCCCTTGTAAATGTGAATTCCTGATCTGAAACACACTGTTAATGCAGACACACACAATGATTTCCACTGAGAGCACAGGGAGATGACATTCTGACTCCTAGTTCTGCCTATCTCATGGCTTAGCCCACAGCCGCTCACAGTCCCAATTGCAAGGAAAAAATTACTTGTTAGTTTTTTTCTCCCTCTGCCATCCCAGCCTGGACTCTACCTAATGTTAATCAAATTCTTGCATAATCCAGAGACTCAGCTAGCAAATCTTGTTCACACGCAGACAGCATTTTTCCAAAGGCTGGAAGAGCCCAGGTTTGGCTCGTTTTTTAGGGAGGGCAGAAGGCATCCTCTTGCTCTAAAGAGCATTTGTTTCTGAGAGCATTCAAATTCCAATGCAAGGCTGTACTGAAGGCTACCAGACAAAAAAGAATGCCACCAGTTTCTTGGTTTTGTTTTGTTGTTTTGTTTATTTTTTTTTTAACAAAGGCAAAGCAATGTCTTTTCCTCTAGCCTCATTATAGTAAATGAATGACACGAGTTGGCAAAAATAAAAGCCAGCCTGAGGGAACCCCCTGGAAGATTCACACTATGTGATTAATGCCTGGTGAGGCCACAAATACTGAAAGCAGCCACTGAACGTGGAGAGTGTCAAGCAAACTCAACCCCTGCTCGCGCTCCAAACATGACACCTGCAGCAGCATGCTCTGTCACAGAATCATAGAATGGGTAAGGTTGGAAGGGACCACTGTGCATCATCTGGTTCAACCTTCCTGCTTAAGCAAGGAACACATGGCACAGGATGGTTCTTGAATATCTCCAGTGAGGGAGATCAACAACCTCTCTGACAACCTGTTCCAGTGCACAATCACTCCCAAGTAAAGAAGTTTTTCCTCATACTCCGGAGGAACTTCCTGTACATCAGTTTCTGCCCATTGCCTCTCATCCTATTGCTTGGTACTACCAAGAAGAGCCTGGCTCCATCTTCTTGGCATCCTTCCTTTAGGTATTTACACAAATTAATGAGGTCCCCTCTCAGTTGTCTCAGCCAGCAGTGTGCCCAGGTGGCCAAGAAGGCCAATGGCATCCTGGCCTGTATCAGGAACAGTGTGGCCGACAGGTCCAGGGAAGTGATTCTGCCCCTGTACTCAGCCCTAGTGGAGCCACACGTCAAGTACTGTGTCCAGTTCTGGAAGGACATTGAGGTGCTGGAGCAGGTCCAGAGAAGAGCAACGATGCTGGTGAAGGGACTCAAGCACAAGTCCTATGAGGAGAGGCTGAGGGAGCTGGGGTTGTTCAGCCTGGAGAAGAGGAGGCTCAGGGGAGCCTCATCACTCTCTACAACTCCCTGAAAGGAGGTTGTAGCCAGGTGGGGGTTGGTCTCTTCTCCCAGGCGGCTGTCAGTAAGACAAGAGGGCATGGTCTTAAGCTGTGCCAGGGGAGGTTTAGGTTACATATTAGGGAGAAATTCTTTACAGAGAGGGTAATCAGGCACTGGAATGGGCTGCCCAGGGAAGTGGTGGATTCTCAGTCCCTGCAGGTTTTTAAGATGAGACTGGATGTGGCACTTAGTGCCATGGTCTAGTAACCATGGTGGTAGTGGATCAAGGGTTGGACTTAATGATCTCAGAGGTCCTTTCCAACCCAGCTGATTCTATGATTCTGTGATTCTTCTCGAGGCCAAACAGGCTCAATTCCCTCAGCCTTTCCTCAGAGAGATGGTCCAGTCCCCCAGTCATCCTCACTGCCTTCCACTGCACTCGCTCCTTCTTGGGTGCTGAAGGATTTTGGATACCTGCAAGCCGAAACCACCCTGAACCTGACTGGGGGCTCAGCGGTGCGCAGTGAGGCAGAACCATCTGCTCCCATGTAAAAACAAAAAAGTGTTAGGGCTTTTTCCCTCACAAAACCCTCACGCCCGAGAGGCGCCCATGGCACAAGCGCGCCCCAGCGGCGCCCGGTGCCGGTGCCCGCCCGTGGGTCGGCGAGGACAGGGCAGGGCAGGGGTGCTCTGCCTCCCGCCCGCCCGCCGTTCACTTCCTTGGTTCGCGTCCCCGCGGGCCGCTCCACCTACCTTCCTCGCGAGCCGCGTAGGGCGGCGGAATGGGGTGGTGCCGTCCGGCCGTGCCGCTGCCGGCGCGGGGGCGCGCGGCGGGGCGCGCCGGACCCGCGGCGGCGGCGGCGGCAGTGGGTAGGTGGGTGCGACATGACACGCGGGGCGGGGGGGGCGCCGGGAGGTGGGTGCGCCGCGCGGAAGTGGGGCGGGGTGGGCGGCGGTGAGCGGGAGGCTGGGAGCGAAGAGCCAGGTGGGACGGGAGCAGGCGCCGCCGGCAGCTTGAGCGGCGCGGCCATCCCGCCGCCGCCTGCGCCGCGCCGACCAGCTGCCCCTGCCCTGCCGCTGTCCCGCTGTCCGCGCAGCCCCCCGGCGCTGCCCCGTGCGGGAACCGGCAGGATGCCCCGCCGCCCGGGGCCGAGCGTGCCCGCATTCCTCCGCGGGGCCCCCGGGCAAGGCTGGCGTGCGGGATCGTGGTCCGCGGCTGACAGCATACGGCATCTCCAGGAGCTTCTGGCATCGGTCGGGAAACGGGAGGTGGGCTCCCGCTCTCCCTTCGCCGCCGTCCAGCACTGGGCTTTAAATACTGCGAGGCTAAACACGTTAAATAATACCGGGCTAAATACGTGGTTTAGGTCTGCTCCGCGGCCTTTCGGAGCAGCGTCGAGTCCCCCCGGCAGGAAATTTAAACTCGAAGTCTCCAGCGTTTTCGTCGGGGTCCTGTGACTTGTTAATGGATTGCAGTGGTGGAACGGGGTCCTGTAACCTGTGCGTGCGTTTCAGCGATGGGACGTGTCCAGCGAACAGCTGGACAGCGAGCGGAGCTCACCCTCTCGCTTTGGTCCAGCGAACAGCTGGACGGAGAGCGGAGCTCACACTCTCGCTTTGGAGGTGGCCGCGGTCACCCGGCGTGTGACTGCACCTGTCCGATGGGACCATCGGCCGGGTGTGACCTCGGCGTCGGGAGTAACCTGTGTTGAAACCATGGCGCTGCACTGCTGAGGGTTTAGTTGAAGTGGATGGTGAGCTACATGGCAATAGGAAGCGATCCGGACTTGTTTAGAACAGCAGTTTCTAAGTATTACTGGAGTAGTTCTGTAAAGTAATTTTTAAGAAGCAAGAGTTCATGATGGATCATTAGAAAACAGTCTTCAAGAAAACAGGCCTTGGGGAGGAGGAGGCAGCAATCTGGTCCGTGGTAGGCTCTCCCGCTGCCTGTGTGCCACTGAGGGACACAGGATGGACACTAAACTTGTTTAGATTTCTTTCCTTTGATCCTAATTTAGAAAAGATAAATTGTGTTTTTCAGTGTGCAAAAGAGTGATTTTTTGCCGAATTCTTGACACGGCAGAGGTGTGCAATGTCAGATCTGTAAGGAAGGAACCCAAATTCGGATGGTTGTTCTGATACAGTGGATTGTTCTGATACTGACTGGTGGGTTGTAATGAGTGACTGCATTGGGTGTCCGGTGGTGTAGATAGTAAGGCGTTAGTGAGTACCGTGTTTTTCTTTGCTTA